TCTCCTATTGTATTTCTTGAGTATTGTGAGGCAATTGTAGTGTGAAAGGTTGCCACAAAGCACCTATATTTTCCATATCTAAAGATCTAACAAAGCTTGCCACGAGGTATTTCATTTAATCTTCTCCTCTCTCTTTTATTTCTTATTTTTAATATACATTGTCATAACAAAAGCAATCATGTAGACGTTTTAGGGTCAACCGTGTAATTTAAATTTCAAGCATGTAAATAGTAATTCATAAAGGGGATCTAATATTTAATTTATTATTTCTTATCACATTAACTTCATCATAGGGTACCGATTGAGGGCGATCTAATATTTAATTTATTATTTCTTATCACATTAACTTCATTATAGGGTACCGATTGAGGGCGCTGTAGGGGTGCTTAATACGTAACCGACCCCGGAACCTAATTCTGGTTATCAAGGCCATTATTGAATTTTAAAAAACCTTTTCTTTTTCCAATGTTTTGAGTAAAACATTGGTGGCGACTCCAAGAACCTATTTTCAAAACCATTAATTAAGGATTAGTTTGGTATCCGGGCATTTCTTAATTGATGAGATCTTTAAAAGGATGTCTAAACCATAGGTCGCGAGATCGGAAATTTTCGGGTTGCGACAAAACTCACGCCCAACTAGGAAGGCCCATTCCAAGTAACCGATGACTTGGACAATGGGGCATACCGATTGGAAGAACTCAGTGGCAAAACCATCCCGAGAACATAGAACGCCACATACCTCAAGTTCTATTTTAGCTAAATTGTAAAATACGGTGTTGTACTCTTTTCCCTTCTCGGTCTTTTTTTCCCAAAAAAGAGAATAAAAATAGGTTTTGGCTGAGGGGTTTTTTAACGAGGCACACCCTTCGAATCATTAAGAACGACTCATTTTCTTCATACATTCTTAACTCCACACTGTTTAGCCCATACTCAGCCAAGGTCGAATTCGAACCTTGGTGCAATTTATACTTAGCCAAGGTCAAATTCAAACCTTGGTGCAATTTATACTTATCCAAGGTTGAATTCGTACCTTGGTGCAATTTATACTTAGCCAAGGTCAAATTCAAACCTTGGTGTGATTTATACTTAGCCAAGGTCGAATTCGAACCTTGGTGCGATTTATACTTACCCAATGTCGAATTCGAACCTTAGCGCAATTTATACTTACCCAAGGTTGAATTCGAACCTTGGTGTAATTTCTACTTACCCAAGGTCGAATTCGAACCTTGGTGCAAATTATAGCAACACATGGAAAAATCAAAGCAAATTATGCTTCATTTAAACATAAATAAATATTCGTTACAAAGTCTGAAAAGAAAATGCATAAAAAGCATATAAAATCCTAGTCTAAATAGTGGTGTCTTCACTCGAACTTCTGAGATCGTCCTCGTTCACCAATTAGCCACCCTGAACATCCTTATAGATTTCCATCAAGGAGAAATCAGCTCCCGGGGCAAGCAGTTTGGCTTAACAAGCCGCTTTCGCAAAGCCTTTCTTGTGCTCAATAAGGACGGCTCGTTCAGTATCTTAGAGTTCATCCTCTAACTTTTTCTTCGAAGAAGTAAGTGCCTCAACATTAGACTTTAAGGCATTTACTTCTTCATTCCTGCCCATAAGAAGAACCTCGTCGCATAGTTGCTTCTCCTTGGCTACCCTCAACTTGGCCTTCAAAGCCTCCACCTCCTCCTCCAAGGATCGAGCCCGACTAGAAGCAACCTCAAACTCACCCTTAGCCGCCTTAATGACTTCGAGGAGTTTGCCAACCTTCGCGGCATATGTCTCGTTGGCTCGAACCACGACCTTCAGGGACTTCTGAGCTGTTGCAAAGTCCCTTCTCATCCTCTCGAGCTTAGCATGCTCCCTCTGCGCCCCCTCCAATTCAGCTTGATGACGTTGCCATCAGCGTCTCCAATGATCCACGATGGCAATCGACCTTTGCATGAACACCTCAGTCGAGTCAAGCCCCTCGACCGGACCAACCTTCTCTATGATTGCCTTGTCAGCCTTGAAGGCTGGATTCTCCTTGTAGAAACCCTCAGTGATCAAGTTGGGATTCCACAACAAAGCCACGTCCGGCGACATGCTCACATGGTCCAGACGAGCCAAAGGGCGAGTTACATCAAACCTTTGGTACAAGCACCTCGACCTAGGCCCAGCGCTCCTTAGAGTCAATGAGGTCGCCGGCGGGGGAAGCATAGACGGTGCCCCCAAATCGGCAGCTTCATGGGCCGCCTCGAGATTAGCAACTGCAGATGCCACCTACAATGAACAAACATTTGTGTAAAATAACTTGGAAAAATAACAATAAATCAAATCCTACAATACGAAATAAACCAATACCTGCTTCTCTGGAACAACCTCGGTAACAGGCTCCCTAGGCGGAGACTCCGCACGAGGACTCACAATCAAATCTATGGTCGTCGCCTACTTAGGAGCAACCAAAGTAACCTCTTCGGCCACAGGACCAGATGAAGCCTCGTCGACCTCTTTCGGGACCCTCTTCCTCTTATGGCGAGGTCGAAGGTTGGAGGTCCCCTCCTCAGCACGATCGTCGACCTCGAGCTTGGCAACATTGAACTTTGCCTTCAGTTCACGCCATTTGCTCTTCCCCATCAGATCTGAAAAACCAAACATAAACTTTATCAACACAATAACAAATAAGTAACGAGTTCATCAATCACAATCTCAAAATACTCACTCTTTAAACCCTTATCTTTATTCGTCAAGTTTGCAAGGGCAAGGACGAGTTTTCTATCCAGGGGACGTGGCAACTCCTTGAGATTGTCTATGTCAGCCTATTTCGAAGTCGATAAGCGAACATAGCTGGTCCCATTGAACTTAACCAGGCTCCGCTGCTAGAAGAAGGGAAACCTCAACTCCCCCTCGATATGGAAAACCTCCTCGGTCCTTAGGTCAGGGTTTAAAGGGTGAACCCGAACAAACTCTTTCTTGAAATTTTTGTAAGATTAGGAGTACAGTTGAAACAACCCCGAACCTGGCTACCACTCAGGGAAGCCCAACCTAAGGGAGGCTCACCCAGTTTCAACTGATAGAAGTGAAGGAAGATAGGAAGCAACACGCCCATCCCTAAAGCCGAGCATAACACCTAGAAAGCTCGGAGAAAACCCCAACTGTTGGGGTGAAGCTGGCTAGGGGTGACGTTGACGCGCTTAAGAAAGGAGCACTCAAACGGTATAAAGGGGAGACAGACGCTGAGGTCCCTGAAGAGACATCGGTACATATAAAAAAATGGGGTATTCCCTGTACCCGACATGTACACGCGCTCACCAGGTTGGTAAGGCTCAACCCGGATAAGCTTGGAAATAGCCGACGTGCATATCATCAGGGATTTCCAAAGGACATTCACTTCCAGAAAGGTCCTAAACTTATTCTCAAACTCCCCCACATCACCCCTAACCCACTCATAACCGGGCACCGAGATGGGGGGATATGAATCTTTTCAATTGTTCCCCCCTTTCTTCTTCTGATTACCCTCATCGATGACTACCCCGTCGATAGCCACCACATCTTTCCCTTGAACCTGGGCCTTTCCTTTGCCCTTTGCTGGGGTAACTCGAGCGGGAACGAAACTTTGCTCTCCGCCACCAGACATACTCATAAAACTGAGAAAAAAGGGAACAGAAGGGGAACGAGTGCGAGTACGAAGAAAAAGTACCTGGAGAGACCCTCGAAAACCTGAAATACAGAGACGAGAAGTGGCAGAGGTATCACCAGAAACACACAAGACACGACGACAAGGATAAACTCGAAGTGGAAATGGAAGGAAGAAAAGGAAGTGCGCGAAAAGGGAAATATGATCCCTGAGTTTAAAAAACTTGTATCCGACAAGAACAGGGACACATTAAATGGGGCTCATAATGACAGGGTGTGTCCCATCATTATGAGTCGTCACTCTTTATTACAACCGCCAACGTTTCGAGAAACGAAGCGACCTTCTGATAACACGTGGCATTCAACTCGAGACACAAAAACGAAAGGTCACGACCTTTCACTCAATCATCTCCAACTTGGCATAAGCTCCTCACCCAAAGAGCTCAGAGCTTAAGGGGCTAGTGTACTGCCCGTACCAAATACCGAGTTCCACGTCGGGCCTAATTATGCTATGACATCAACCACGTGCGCGGGCCCATAGTCAATGGGGCTCGCGACCAATGTTGGGCCGACTTCAAACCCACTCTCGCCTAAACAGAGAAAACCCTAAAATAACCAAGGTGTGTCTGCTATAAATATGAGACATCTACACTATAAAGGACTAACTTTAGCATCGAAGTCTCTTTTACAGGTACCACCCCATGCATCTCGGTACAACTAACGTGCCCAAGAAAAAAGACTCACCAATCTTATCAGAGTAATCGCCCCCAGGCCGATCTCAGGTGAGAACTTCTCCTATTGGATGACAGACATTTTTTTGGCATCTTATTTTTGCTCGTCTTTCAAAATAACACTCTCGCTTGGGTAGAGTTAAAGTATTTGGTGGAATAACTTTTCCAATTTTTTTACAAGATCTAATAATTTTTGTGAGATATATTAATATATATCCCTTCAGTTTAAAGTTCCAAAAGTCGTATTTTTATCTAATAAAACATAGTGAAAAGACCGCTGAAAAATTGACTATAAATAAGCTGGTCAACTGGCCAACCATTGATTTTTAAATATTTAATTGATGAAAAATAAGATTTGACGAATGAGTCAATAAAATTAGAATCAAACTTAAATTTCAAATGGTTAAATTAAAAAATTTTAATATCAAATTTGTAAAAGAAAATTAAAAAATAATTATTATGATAAAAAATTACAAAAAATTTACAATGTTTTAAAAATTTAGCGAAATTCACATATGTAATTAATTCTTATATGTAAATACCATGCATTAAACATTTTGTTACAAAGGTCATCAAAAGCATAAAATGAAATTGATTATACATTAAAAAAAAAAAAAAAAAAAAAAAAAAAAAAAAAAAAAAAAGACAAAACTTCCATATATATCCTGCTACCTAACTCCATTATTTCAAAGCCTTGCTCTGAAATTAACGCCCAACACTTACAAGGCTGTTAGTGAAAGGTATTGACTGTAAGGAATTATTAGTAGGTTGCACTTGCTCATGGGTAACCAGAGAAGGAGGAGGATGATCATGCATATCAAGTGGAAGCACTGGCAATGGCAATTCAAGCTGAAGAACTTTTATTACTTGAGCAGCCTTGGGCCTTTCCTTGTCGTTAGGGTTCGTACACCACAACCCCACAACGATCAAACTTGTCATTTCATCCAAATCAAACTCCTGGTTCAATTTCTCATCAACCACATCCAGAACATTCCCATCCACATACTGTTGCCACACCCAGTTCACGAGAGGCACGTGAAACTCTCCATCTTTGTAAGTTCTCCTACCACATGCAATCTCAAGAGCCACAACTCCAAAACTATAAATGTCTGATTCCTTGCTAGCCCTACCTCCGTTGATATATTCTGGGGCAAGATACCCATAAGTCCCTACCACCCCTGTCCTCTGAGTCCTCAACCTTGGATCCACCAACTTTGCCATCCCAAAATCTCCAAGTTTGGTGCTGAAATTTGTGTCCAACAACACATTTGCCGACTTAATATCCCTGTGAAGAACACTCTGCTCTGCATCCTCATGAAGATAATGAAGTGCTACAACCACACCTAATGCTACCTTGTACCTGTGAGGAGAATTTAAAAGACATGTTATTATCCAACACAAGTAACAAATGAAAAATTATTAGATTGTCCTACACCACGCATGACCCCTAATAATTAATTAATTAATTAATCTCTACATGATATATATAATTAAGTATATTATTTTTTAATTGAAAATTTTAAATACATATTACATATAGATTGATCAGAATTCTCATAGTTTTAAATTACCTAATATTTTTTCCTTGATAACATATTGTAAACTACTGATATATAAGTGAGCAATAATAAATGTAAATAATAAAATACATACAATTAAAAACAAAAACTTAAGCTAAATAATAGTAGCATGTAACATACCTAACTTCCCAGGCCAAAGTTTTTTTCTCCCCAAAGAGATGAGTGTCGAGGCTTCCATTAGGCATGTACTCAAAAACCAACAAAAACTCACCTTGCTCGTGGCACCACCCTATGAACTGCACCAAGTTTCTGTGAATAAGACGGCTTATGATCCTAACCTCGTTGATGAAAACTCTCTCTGAATTCTCAAAGTTAGTGAAAATCCTTTTAACGGCAACAACCCTTCCTAAATAACTCAAAACCCCTTTGTAAACTTGTCCCGAGCCTCCTCGTCCAAGCCTTCTATCATCGGCAAAACCATTGGTGGCAGCTACTAATTCTTTGTAATCAAATCTTCTAGGTATAGCTGCCCTATCCAAATCAAACTTCACCAAGGTGGCTCCACCTTCATCATCATCACTACACCCCTTATTACCCCTTCTCTTCATGATTACCACCCAAGCCACAACATTCGCGGCCACGGCCATCAAAACCATCGGACACGTCACCACAACAACCAGCACCACCACGCTCAACCCGCTCCCGTGGTTCGTTCCATTATTACCCGAGGAATTATTATTCGAAACAGTGGAGTTCAACGTTGAACTGAACTGCCAAGAATGAATGACGTTTCGTTCGGTATGGTCTCCAGTTGAAGCTGAGAACCCAACGTCCACCCACTCGGGTAGGGTTTGCATTAGGTCAATCTGGTAAGAAAGTGAAGAATTCGAATTTCGCGACGCGCTTCCGTCGAAGGACCATGACACGGAGAATGACTTGTTGGAAGCAGTGTAGGTTATGAGAGCGTGGCATTTGTTTCCGAGGTTGTTGTCGATGTCAAACGGAGCAGAACGAACGGATACGAAAGAGTTATCGTCTATGCCAACGTGCTGCATGGGAGGGTCAGTGGTGCCGTTGAACGTGTCGAACTCAACCGCGAGAACGCGGTTTTGGGGGAGGAAGCTGTTTGAGGTTTTGTTGAAAAGCGCGAAAGTGCCACCTGCGGCGTTTGGCGGAATCTGGTAACCGTGAGGGGCTATGTAGAAAGCGAAACCGTCGGCGTAGGTGTCGTTAGCGGTTGTGGCTCTGTCGATAGTGAAAGTGAAGCGCGTGGTGAAGTCGGTTGCAACGCCAGAAGATGAGTTCCACAGGCGCAAGGGTTGTCCGTACAAGGCTCTCCCTACGCGGAAAGGATAGGTCACGATGTTGAGTTCCATGGACCCGTCGTTGTTGGACCTTCCATCACCCATGTATGCTATGTTCTTTGCATTCTCGGGGTCGTTGAAGTTTGTTATGTTGAAGTTTAGTGATTCTGTTGTGAGGACCAGAAGGAAAACTGTTACCATCTCTAGTAGTAATCTAAGTGGCTGTTTTTTTTCTGCCATTGTTTGATAGAGCTAAGAAGTTCATGCCAAAACGAAAGGGATTAGAGAAGGAAAACAGTAGAAGAATATATTTGTTTTGACGAGTAATTAAGGTTGTTCTGAATTGGTCTATCGACCTTGTTTAAATAAAAATTAAGTGATGCTTTTTTAATTGGTCTTCTTAGTTATTTTTTTCCTTCTTAGTAAGGATGTATTAATCTTGGTTACTAAATCGATCTTTATATAGGAATAAAATAACACTTTTAATTAAATAAAAATTGAAGTACAGTTTTTAATTAAAAAAAACAAATATTAAATCATTAATTCATTAGTAAAGAACACAAGCATTGAAGCTTTTGTATAAGATTACTAGCGGCTCAAATACTGTGAATGCCGTGCACGGCCTTTCACTTTCTCTTTAAATGATGTTAGTGCAGAGCAATTGAGAAGAAGCTTCGGGATGAGACAAGTCAAATATTAATTTGGTTCTGATGGTACGGCCTTTTCATATGCTATTGTGATTGATCATCAAGTGTTTACAGCATAGAGCCAGTACGTAGAATAAGTCATGAATGGTTGAAGTAATTTCACTACAAGTCAGGTGTATAAAACAAGTTCCTTGACTAAACTGGTTATTTGCGCCCCCACGGCAAGGTTTGTTTGATATTTTAATGTTTAAGAATCATTCAACGATTGAGAAATTAATGTGTGACGAGATACTTTTAGCTAGATAATATCCTTTTTTTTTAGTATAGATAATTACATTGATTTCTTTTAGCTAGATAATATCCATTTGTGGCGGATATTTTGTAAACGCTGGTCTTACGCGCCAGAAAATTCAATCTCTTTCTAGTAATTTGAAACCGCCACAAAGTGCATTTTGGTTTGACATGTTTGACATTTTCTGGCGGTCCGAAACCGCCACAAAATTGCAGCTCTGTTTGACTTGTTCATCATTTTCTGGCGGTTTTAAAC